AGAAGATGTCCGTTATGCTTATAGTAAACTCACCCCCGATGAATTATTATTAAAGGATGATAGCAAAGTAAATAACGCTCAAATTACAGAGGAAATGGTCCCAGAAGGGCTAGTTCAAGATTTATTCGATATATGTTAATTATTCTTCAGATAGGGGTAGGCTTCTTCCATAATTTTATATAAAGATACCGAAGAAACCTACCCTCGTTTTATACTACTTTTGCCAAGAAAATTTTTTATTATTACATGCGAAAATATATACAAAGGTTCAGGACGTAGCCCGTGATACATGATGATTTTTTCTATGCTAAACTCTATCCTATTATTCTGTTTTTACTCGCTTTCCACCGACCAATGATGATTTTTGCTGATCAAAAACCCATTTGATTTGCTTAAATAATTTCTCGATAGGTCCAACTAGGTCATCGCGGGATAATTATGGGTAGTTAATAGGTAGAGGTGTAGGCGTATGCGAACACAAAAAAAACTTCGACCAGATTCCCATCACCATTATCATTCTCATCTCCAATACCACTTTGAACTTTTGTTATTACCCAGTCGACGCCTGAAATTGGATATCAAATAATAGAGTTAGTAATTCAGGTCATATTTTTTCGAATTTGTTTACAAGCATACCCGTTGAGACAATGCAGTACATTGCACCTTCATACAAATCAGCATCATCGCAAGTATGTTTTTTGCGATTGCATTGCATAGACGCATGTGCTTGAACAGTACTCTGGGCAATGCCCTGGTTAATATCTTCTCGTTTGCTTCAGTTACAGAAATAATTGTGTCTCCCATTTTGATCACCCAATCTATGGACCCTTTCCATGACTTCCAGAGACTTTATACTGGGGATAAACTTTTACAGTACTGTTACACCTGAACGCTACCTCTTATGAGCTCAGTATAACTAATTTACTTTAGTGACGTGTATGCTATTAATTAATTACTAACAACGTTTTATGTCTAAGTAAAATATAGGGTTTATTGCAGTTACACTTTAAGGGGATTCAAGTAATTTGCAGTTATGAAAGAGGCAAACGGCTAAATATATATGAAGATATAAGTAGTCGTATTAGGGTATACAATAAGTCTTAATATCTATCGCACTTTACGATAGTCACGTGTGTATGAAGACACAATTGGGTTTTAAATCATGTACGTATGAAGACACGATTGGGTTATTATTCGTGTATGAAGACACGAATGGGTTTTATTTAATAAATATGAGTTATGAACTGTCGTTTTCCAGAGGAGAAAGTGTGGTTATTTATACATGTCGTTCATTCGAATATTATATCTATCGGTTATACTAGATTTATTATACGTATGGGGTAATTTTATGAGTAATCTAATATAACTAATACACACAATAGGTCCAATAATAATTAATAAAGAATTAAAAGAAATAGTAGAAATAGTAGAAGTTGTAGGAATTGTAGAATTCTTGGCGCATGTGTTACATTGTCACGGATTTCGTATACCATTAATCACGTGATAGTAAAGATGACAAGTTTTAGGTCTAACAGTACCATCGAAGATGGATGCCACACCATATATAATCGCAGAAATAAATTCACAACGGGGTGGCCTCATTCGCGCTAGTGATGGGTGGGGATGCCTTATGCATTCTTAAAAAATCCTCAATCACACTATTCCTGATTTCTTCTGGAGTTGCTGAACTTCCAATCTCAATACATGGTAAATGACCATAGCTATCGGCCTTCAAACCGCAAAGAACCTTCATCTTGGGGAAAGTATACGAAGAGAAAGGTTGTTGCGCTATAAAAACAGCCATGCATAAATTAACTGATCTGACATTTGGTAGAATCGGCACGTGAATATCCTAAATATCTCAATAATACTTACACGCATCCACAACTATTTCCAGATCCACCTTGGGGTTAACAGTCCAGATAATACTCAATAAATCTTCATCAGCTTGTCTGGTTTAATTTTTTACGCATTTTACCTGTCGAAATTTTTCTCTTCAAACCGGTTTCACCTACTATACGACCTATTACGATATGCTCGTTTTCTGTCCCATCCGGAAACGTGAAATATTCACAAAGCTTCTTCTTAAAGCCTTCCAATGACACCATTTCTCGGCTCACTGTCCATTGAAAATTCGCACTCTTACGGCCATACGTTGCGGTACAATGTACCTCTTTCGTCTCAACAGGACGCTGCACGATGATATGTATGTGCTCTTCGGCTGGCTGAGAGGGAAAGCGTTTGCTAATCTTCGAAAGAGATGGAAGTTCCTCACCACCAAGGTCCTCCTTGATATTAACGTTTATTTTTGTGTTGACGAGCTCAAGTTTCTTGTTTTCTTCTTCGAAGGAAATGTCAATCTTCCATAGCTTAATGTCTTTGGCGTCAACGTTAGCGAAATCTTGTGTATTTTTTTCCTTGGTAGCCTCTCTGAAAAAACTAACTAACTTCGTTGATTTCAGCTGCGAAAGCATTTTCATAAGGGTTTTCACCTACGACTAAACAACTGAGAGTGATAGTTGACATAGCGCTTTTATAAGGATATTTGGGTCGGATGAAAAAAATGTGTTACGTTCCGGAGTGAGATAAAAATTAATTTCTGTTCGCCAGTGTCCGCGTATAGAATAAGTTACATGCATATGGCCCAGCAAAATCTTCCGAGCTAATGGTCATTGCTCCAGACTAGTTAGATTGGTAGAGTACCACCATTTTATCAGCCAGTGTTGGAAAATTTGTCTAAGAAATGAGTGTCGCTAAAAGAAATCCGAAATTTTAAATATAAATCATTTAAATTTTCGGGTTTTCTTTAGTGACACTCAAATCATCTCGCCTGGTCAGTCACGCCTGATAGATCTGCAGGAAGTTAAGTGTCCGAGCGATTTTTCCCAACACTGCCATTAGCCGTGCCCTTAATCATCAGAGGAGGCACATCATTATTATAGCTATCTTCATTCTCTGATTCAGGTTTCAAAGCCAGATGATTCTGTTTCAGTATAATCTGAATCATAATACTCACTTAGATCAAGATTGTCCATAACTGTATAATGTTTGAAAAACTTGGTTATTATAACCTCCCCATCTGAATTAATTGCGGTGAAATTAGAGAATAATAATTCGTAGAATGTATATAACGAAGGAGACAATATATTAATGTTATTTCTTACGTAATAAAGTCTTTTCTCTTCATTATTTTCTCAATATCTTGCATCTCATTTATCAATTTCGTGTCCTAACCCAATTAGCCAATTACTACCTAAAATCAAATCATATTCAGGCTTGTTAACAACTATAAAAGTTTCTGTATCCGTTCTCAAATATGAAGAGGGTTTTAACCCATCAAATATATTTGGCAAAGTAAGGAACCTTTTTCTCTTTGAAGCCATCCTCTTATCATCACTTTCTTCCCAGCATTTGTTGCACCAATTCCAAGACTTTGTATTGCAGGAAATCCAGATCCTCCTTTTCTAGAAATATATAAATCTATTTTTTTTGACAAGCGCCTTACTAATACTGCTATAGTATGATTTAGTATTAATTAATCAACAAATGTACAGTCTACTATCACCTTATTATATTAGCGTAATTGATAAATATCTTAGTCAACATGATGTTTGTGGTTTAGCTGAGTTAGAGTAAAAAGATAAGATGTCGTAGTATTGCTAATAATCTGAATTCGGTCCCATTTCTGACTCAAGAAATTCTTCCCGCCTTAGTGTCAAGAGCTTTTAATAACTTACTAACTGATCAGGCCGAGCGATCTTTAGCTCAGAATATATCGCATTAATTTTATTTTTTTGATTTTAAATATAACATATTATATTAACAATAGATATAGCAATGAAAGCTTTAAAAGCCGAGAAGAGAAAAGAAATACCAGCACCTATACAAGAGGGATCTGTAAAAGAATATTGTGAAATGTTTCTTTATATGCAGTGGTTAGTAGTAAATCTGCCAAGAAAAATTTATTTAGGGTTATTACCTGCATACAAGACAGAAGTCACTTACGATTCAAGTCCTCCATTTGATTCTTTGATGGATAGGCTCATTAATTAGAGAATAATAATTCGTAGAATGTATATAACGAAGGAGACAATATATTAATGTTATTTCTTACGTAATAAAGT